GTCGGCAGGGGTCCTCAAGGGCCGGCCATCGCTAGTAGTAACAAGAGCATCGCTACTAGTAGCAAGGACGCTACTAGTAGCTCCTGGCATTACTACTAGTAGCAAGAAGCTACTAGATTGGAGGCCATTGCTCTAGGTTGGAGGCCATCGCCACGTAGAAAACTGCAATTTGCTCAACTGTGATCTCCGCACAATCTCGTGGCCAGGGCAGGGTCATGGCAGCCAGGCTTTTGTGCATGGCTGCATGGGGATGTGCCACAGTACCTCAAGGAAAATCAAGACCAAGAGCACCCACCACAGAATCAAGAAACAAACGAAGACTCGAACTGAGAAATCAAAGACTCGAACAGAAGTTGGGTCCAACAATTTTGTATACGAGGCAAGGGCACTTGAAGTGGCAGTCCCATCGAACTGCGCAAACCATGATGCCGGTGTTTAGCAAACATGGGGCCAAAAGGTGAAATTCGCCCATTGCTGAAAAGCTAGGCCTCCAAATTGATGGGAAACTGTCCCACTGCTGCCGCCACTCAGCCGCCCAGCGCAATCGCCCAAACTGACCAGCATATGCCTGCCAACGTTCCGGAGGATTTGGCACAGGCCCAGTCCTCATGTGCATCAGTCTTGTGCAGATGCACTCGGCCAGTGAGCGTGGTCCAGACCTGCGCAAAAAAGATCCCACAGGTCATCATTGGAACCATCAGAAACATAGCCGTGTCGATGGATCGGATCGCCAACCTCTCAGCACATATGAATATGCTGAGTCAGCCCACACGTCCGCATCACAATAAAAAGCTCGGCCCCACAGCAGTGATACAATGACCCATAAAGTTCCGCTCTGTTATGCTGTCGAATTGAATCCCGATAAAAGGCCGGAGACCAGGCCTGCGAGTGTCAAAGGACAACCCGGGGGGCACAACTGCCATGAAATTTTTGCCTTGTGCCAATATCGCCAGTACCTACCGGACCAGCTTCCCAACAAGGCTGATCTAAAGAAAGTTATGCCAAGAGTTGATTCGTTGAAGCAAGCCCATGATGAGCGAGGCTAGCAAAAAAAAGTTGCTACGAGTTTGACAACAATCCTGAAATCCACCTAGAACAGAATCATACAATACTTACATTACATTGCAAAGCAAGCACAATGGGAAAGTATGTTTTCTTGACCGCAATGGAGACAATGACATGATTTGAACTCATCAAATTTGGCCTTAAAGCCTTAAAGGTATTCAAGAAGGTACCGTCTTGCGCACAAGCCAGCAGTTCTCGCTCTGGTTTTGTGAGCTTTGGCAGGGAGGCAAAAGAAGCAACATGGTCAATCCCTTGAAGATCACTGAAGTCCTTTCGCATGGCAATCTGAGCTGCCAAGCTGTGTGTCCAGGCAAATTCCAGCAGCATCCTCAAAGTGCTGAGGTCCAGACTGAGCAGTGGAATCATGCAATCCCCACTGACATAAAGGTCCATATCACTCAGGCTCCATCTCAGCTGTTCGTAAAGGTCTGTATATTGTTGCAAAAGGTTCATGAGTTTTCCTACAGGCTTCAAGGGAAGCTAAGCCCTGCCAAACCACCCTCATATGGCTGCATCCGCATGAGGCTCCAACTGAAAGAGCAAACCCCTGGCTCGATGACAACCCCAAATTCGGTAAGGAAAGCTTTGTTGAAATTGAGTGGCTGTGCTGGCTGAAGCCAAGTTGACCAAACAATAACAAGTTATGTCCAAAGCCTGGTTTGCCTGGGCCAGTCCAGGCCTGATTCAATTGCAATGAAGAGTGCGGCTAGGTCACCCTTGAATTCAGGTGGAAGTGCCTGCAAGTCCTCTTTGCTCAATACTTTCCAGAGTAGAATGCGCTGGTAAGAGGTCGATACTGACTCTTGATACTTTCTGGGGACATTCATAACATCAGAGGAATTCGGCAGCCAAGGACGACGAAAAGCCATCTACAGTGAATACTCGAAGCTTAAGAGGTATGAGGTATCAGGTGACCGCCTTTACCGCAAGTGGCATGGTATGTTTTGTCCTGTGGAATTGGTACGTTTTCACTGGTGTTGACGGGGCAGGTTCTCGCTGCTCTCCAAGCAGTACATCTCACTGCCGTTGAAGTTGTATGTTCAGGCAGTTCGCAAGAAACCGACCGGAGATTCAAACCTCTCAGAAGCCTCATGACAGAAATCAGAATTCACGCAAAAATAGCTGCAACAACTTCCCGCACATTGCCGCGAATCATCACAGAACGACATGAATTGTACAGATCGGAAAACATGCCAATCAACAAAAGCCCCTACACAACAAGAGCTTGCCATGAAACACTTGCATACCTCATCGCCGCACTCACTTGTGTACTTGCCACACCGGTTGAGCTACTTCGCCGTTCAGTCAAGCCTCTTGGCACCTTATCATTCGGCTATCAAGTTCCTCCCTTCTACAGATTGTTTGGTTGTTTAAAACTTTTGCTCTAAGGACTGCGATTTCTTGCTTTTGTCTCACAAAACTCACGTGTGAAACACAAGCTGTCGCATTGAATACCTGAGACCAACTTCCTCAATTGCGCAAGCTCTCAAGACACCCATAAACTTTGGATTGTAAGGCTATGCTGAAGTGCCTGCGGAAACTCTATGGTCCTTCATCACGGACTGTGCGATCCACATCACTGAAGAGCAAAACCCTGTGTCAACACTTGTGCCAATACTCAAACGCTTGTGCACACGTTGCGGAACTATAGGACCATGCATGTGATATCCGTCGGAGATTCCACAGTGGAGCATCTTGCTGCCAAAGAGGCTGGGTGCGTTGATGTGTAGACCACTTTTCAGAGTCAGGCTCCATTGCTCCATTGCTCCATCCTAAACCTGCTTGAAATTACAGAGTGATGGTCTTGTAAGCCACACCACATGTTGAACTGATACTATTCTCCTTGGAGTCAAGCCACATTATTTATGTGACCAGGTTCTGTGGTGTTGCCCTCAGGAGTGTTAGCACGGTGAGAGCATCCTGCGCAGTATCAGTTTTGAGTTTTCATGGGCAAACTGAACACTTCTGAATTCTTTTGTAAGCTCTGGCCGTTGAGTGAAGTTGCAGAATTCTGGAAAGCATTACGTACAGGATGCAGGTGAATGGGTTCATGGGACATGGTTTGGTTCGACACATTGTGCTTCAGTCCAGTGCGACGCCAGGAGGCTGGGAGCTACTGCAAGACCATTAAGCTCATGCCATACCCTCAGCCAACTCTTGCACAAAAACTAAGTGGATCATTATGTGTGTCGCAGGTCTGACCCCTCTGTCCAGAACCTGACTGAAGAGTTGCAGGCCTGGTGATTGCTCAACAAATGCACTAACCTGCTACTGGCTCTTGCGAAAAAGGTTCTCACATCCTGGCTGCAGCAAATCGCTGTTTGCGAAAAAGACTTTGACCTCAGCTGGCTGCTTATGATCTCATTGAAGGTGTTGCATCCGAACAATTGCTTGCTTTCTGCCATGCATGAAGCCTTTGTCAACAAACATCAAGAATTTCAATAACATCTATATAATATATATATATAGGAACGTTTCGACCATGCGAAGCATCTCCCACCCTCCGGGCCCGAGCCCTTCTGCCTCCAATCTGTAGCTTCCTTGCTACTCTTTGCTACTAGTGAGCTAGTTCTCGCCTCTCAGTAGCATACCTGCCCAGGCCTTGGCGGCCTACCTGACCACGAATGTTAGATAAGTTTCCCTAAGAATCTAGGAACCAAATAAATAGTAGGACCGCTTCTTCGAAGCTCCCCCCGCCGCTTCAGTAAGCTAGTAGCGACTCCCTAGCTTCTACTAGCTACCTACCTCACCACCTCACCTCTACGGCCTACCCCCCAAAAAAGCAAATTGTTACTAGTAGCGATGCCCTTTGTTACTAGTAGCTTCTTGCTCCAGTAGTAAGGCCAGGATCCCCTAGTAGCGTACTTGCTCCTAAATGGAATTTGGGTTATTTTGTCCGAGGTTTTGAGTCTGAGGACTTCAATGATAACATTACTGTCGCTCTAGCTGGCGCTGGTCACAGGCATTAGCCACGGCCTCGTTTTGCGAATTTGCTTTTGAAACAAGGCTCATTTGCTCAAGTGCCTTGAATCAAGAAAGCGTCTTCACACTTTAGCCTCCTTGATGTTGCTCAAGAGGCCTTGTGATCAAGTGGGGCTTCTTTTACCTTTCACTCTGTGTGATTCTGTATGCTACAGTAATGCCACACTACCTACCGTCACGATTGGTGCTCATCCAATACTGTACCTCAGAGTTCTCTGCCTTGGAATGCCCGGTGCTCTCCAAGGCCTTGAACCGTTTCACATGTAGTTCGATTCGGCCCGGAGACTTGTAGCGAGGAGCTAGTTCAGTGTACTATGCACTGACGGCAAGAAGCAACACGTTACTCTGAACTTGTTCATAAGTTTCATAAGTCAAAAGAACGTCCAAAGTGCTATTTTGTCTCCACTCAGTATGGCCGACCAATGGTACTCAGCGTTGCTCCTTTATTGGTTCTGAGTTTTGATAAAAGATGCTTTTCAAGCTTTTTCAAAGTTATATGTTCGTTGTTTTTCCTTGATCACTTCTAATCGTCGCAGAGTCGTGAAGAGCTGCAGTGGAGCAGGTTTTCACAATCGTCTGAAGCGTTGCACCGTTGGCAAAAAAGCCAATGCAGTTTCAAGAGACTCCGTCTGAGACTCCAAGAGGCTTGGCGCAACACCCTGGCAATGCAGCACTCCTGCAAACTGAGCCATGGTTCAAGAAACTTGCCAATGCTCAGGCCACAGAAGATGTAGAAAGAGATAGCTGATGTTTCGGAGGGTGCAAGATGGAAACCGCGATGAAACCTACAAGCCGATACAGCAAATGGATGCAAATGGAGTTTCATCCCGATTGGAAGAGATGTTGTTTTGGTTTTGCAATAGGTTCTTTGTGGGAGCGACAGCGTGGTAGAGTCGTTGTCCATTTGCGTGTCTGTGCTGGCGCCGCTTTGATGTGGCAATGGATTGAGATTCATGCAGACCCTCAAAGATCTCACAAACTCGTTGCATGTATTGCTGGCATGTTTGACTGTTGACGGAGCAACGTGCATTGATTCATTTCCCCCACAGCAAACACTGTACTGCGCCAAATGTGTGCACCGCCACAATTTGCAAATAATATCAAATAATTAGGATTTGGGCACAACTGCTGCAATTTTCCAGCACTCAAAGATAGGGTGAGGTGCCTCATCCCAGTGTCAGCCCCATGTCATCATAGTAGAATTGCATCCCTGTTTACCTCATATGATGCTTGGCAATGTTATGTAGAAACCTCGTCCTAATAACATCTACAATGCAGCACACTTGCAAGCAGAGTGGGCCAATGACAAACTCTTACCTGCTATATTTTGCTCAAATCAATTCCATGAAAACATAGCAAAACATAAATAGGTATACGCGCCATAGATGGCCGTGCATGTTTTTTCTCCTATTTTACACGATTTGTTGTATTAATTATTCGTGAGACATTGGAAGGTCTGAGTGCATATTGGAACACGGCTCCTGACTGGGGAGAAGAAAGAAGTTTTCAAAACACCTTAGAAGTACGGTTCAACACTACCACTTAGACCTCGGCAATGTTTCATGTCTTCAAGAGTCTTCCAAGTTCATCCAAAAATTCAGTCGGCGGTTTGCCGAACATTTGCTGACGCCACATCCACTGAAAGCATGTTTGCTTCAGCAACGGATTCAACAACTTGTGTACATTCTTTTTCGGTCATCCCGGACATAGGTGCAAGGAACTCTTTCAAAGACCTCCAAGATCTATCAATCGTTTGGGTACCTGCAAGAGGGCTCACAGAGGTTCCATGGTTCAGGAGGATAGGGGGTGTGAACTGCTTCACCTGGTGTGTCACCTGTTCTACAGGGATGCCCAATCTATTGCACTCGCCCCACCATGCTCGATTGCCATCGGCAGAGCCTCATGTGTTTTCCGGGACCCACGGGCCAAGAGGCAAGAAACGATGCCCAGCAGAAAACTGTGAAACCTTACTGACACCGTCCGGAATCTACTCCACGAACAGAAAAAACTGCAGTGCGATACCTATCGAGGATCAAACCACAAAGCAAACCTGTGAAACCTTACTCAAACCGCTCAGAAACCCACAATCACAACGTAACCATCCATTTACTGTAACCCATAACATCATTACATACTTCATTACAAGAATGGCATTGCCCCCCCACCCCCCTCATGTGTGTATGTTTGTGAGCTTGTGATGACATGTTGAAGTGCATGTGTGCGTATGAAGATGTATGAAGCAAAAACGACGTAAGAAAGTTACAAACGCAGAAAACGCCACGGCCATCTGTTGCGCGTGCTCCAACTACATCAAGCAGTGCCGCACCTTTAAATAGGAAGGTAGACAAAGTTGACGCATCGACCGCCCTTAGATTAGAATGGGATCCTTGTACATTGTTGCTTTACCACAAAGTCCCAACAAGAGCGTGTTTGGCACACGTTTTTCAGGATCTTCTCCTCTACAAGAAAGGCAGTTTTTGTTTTAACAGGACGTTAGATCTTTGGACGTAAAATCCTTGGGGTAATTCCTCTACTTTGGATACAGAGGCGGACGTTGGAACAGTTTTTGAAGAGAACTATGGTTTCTCGATTCCACTTCAACTGAAGGTCTCACACAACCGCTTGCCAAACATTTGGCTCAAGCTGGTGCAAAGGTGGGCCTGCCAGTGGCTAAAACAATTGGTCTTCAGCCGTCGCTCTCTACCGGATCGCCATACTTGGCGTCGTTGCTGTTTGCTGCGCTAAGCTCTTCTGCGGCTGCCTCTCCTTGCTTTTTTTTGGCGCTGTTTGTGCATGCAGCCTTTGGGCTGCTGCTGGGCTCGCTTGTCTGACTGTGAGTCTTGGATGCCAGGAGTGAACGTGGGGGCAAGAGGACAAAGCAATCAAAGGAAAGAGCCAGGGAAGTAGTGGGGGGACTTCGTGTTCCGAAGTCACGCCCAAGTTGATAGGGAAGGATCAGGACGAGCGGCAGAAATCTCCTACACTCAAGGTAGCCTTCCCTCATTGGAGACCCCTTACCATCCATGGAACCCCAAGGCTCAGGCTTGAGCCCCCAACTCCAACTGCAAGACAGTAGGATGCTGCGTGAAGAATCTACGATCGACCAAGATCAAAGATCACTCACCAACACTACAAACGTTGCTATGGATCAACGGCCAGCGAATGTAGACCAAAGATCAGTCCACTTTCAAAGCAGAGCCAGCAGCTGGAGTGAGGGCAGAAGCTGCAACTGTCGTCTTGAACATAGTTGCTGGTGCGTTGCTTGTGTCGTTTTTTGAAGACAACGAACCCCATTATTGAAGCCTTGGGGCCTACCTTTGGGGCTTCTTGTTGGAATCCTGTTCCCGGATAGACTACACCAAAGGAATGCAAACCATTGTTGAAGCTTTGGGGCCCAGCTTTGGAGAGGCTTGTTGGAACCCTGTTCCCGGGTAGATTCCACCATAAGGAATACTTCTATCATTGATCATTTTTTGAGAGAACAAGCCCTATTGTTGAAGCTTTTGGGCCAATTTTGGTGCTTCTTGTCGGAATCCTGTTCCCGGGTAGACTACACCATAAGGGATACTTCTCTCACTGATTGTTTTTGAGATACAACAAACCCCATTGCTGAAGCTTTGGGGCTTACCTTTGGGGCGTCTTGTTGGAACCCTGTTCCCGGGTAGATTCCACCATAAGGAATACTTCTATCATTGATCTTTTTTTGAGAGAGAACAACTCCCATGGTTGAAGCTTTTGGGCCTACCTTTGGAGCTTCTTGTTGGAACCCTGTTCGCGGGTAGACTCCACCATGAGGAATGCTTCTATCTTTGATCCCAGATTCAGGCGTCGCAAGCTCAGGCGGTAACAGAGGTTATCAAAGCCTTGCAGAGATCCAGCGACTGCAGGATCAATTGACTGCTGCAGGGACTCAATTTGCAGTCCAGCAGGATGCTGTGGTAAATGCCCATTGTCGCGCAAGGGAGCTCCAAAACACTTTGCGTGAGGATGGGTATAAGGAAAGCATTCTCACGCGTCAAGTTGAAAGAATCATTAGCAATCGAAAGGAGCAACCCCAAAACCCCATCAGCATCAAGCCCCAGCAGTACGGATCTTGTGCCCGCAAGAATGATTGCTTTGGAGGAGAGTGTTGAAGATCAGCTAGGGTTTATCCAGGATATATGGGAAACGAGGCCTGAGGGCCATTTAAAAAGCTTGGGAACAGCGGCCTTGCCCTGCTCTCAGGCCCGAGCTCAAAGTCAAGCAGAGCAGAAGGAGCCAGCGGCGGACGTTGCGGACAAGGACGAAGATAGTTAAAAAAGGGAAGAAGAGACAGACCGACCGGCAGTGAACCAACCTCAAGGAGGAGCACAAAGATCAGTAGACGGAGAAGAAATTAAGAAGAAGAAGAAGAGGAAGAGGAAGAGGAAGAAGAAGAGGCAGAGGAAGAAGAGGAAGAAGAAGAAGAAGAAACAGAAGAAAAAGAGAAAGAGAAAGGGCAGAAGTCAGAAGGTTCAAGTCTGACGGCCCAAAAAGCAAGTCAGAGCAGAAGGCTCGTTTAGAAGGAGACGCCGTCCCACAGTTGGCGCGGGTGAGCCCACCTGGCGCACCTCCAACCAGCTTGGGAGCAGAGTGGAACCCAAAGGCGCTTGGCTCACGCCGGCCCACTTCACAAGAGCCCAGATCATCCGCCGCCTCGTTGGGAAGGCAAGCATGGAGGACAAGAGAGCCGACGCAGCAGCCAAAGGAGGAGCAAGGCCGGCTACGCAGAACTCAACAGAGCAGAGGGCCCAGCTTGTGGCGGTCGGGAGTTTTGGTTGCCTATAGGGACCAGGGGCCGAAGCCCTGTGCAAGTGCCACTCTAAGACCGCACCGCAGAGGCAAAGCGCGTGGTGGACGGAGTGAACATTATACTTGCCCAGCGCAGCTGAGCGGGACTTTATCTCCGATACCGATCGTTGTCATCGGCGCCGTGGCAAGAGGGTGGCAGACGACCTCATCCACATCATCAAGGGAGTTGATTCGATGAAGGCTCGCGAGTTGGAGGAAGGCTGGGTTCAAAACCTCGAAGGGAAGACGAGTCGCTGACCTCTGGGAGACGCCGTCAGAAGGAGTCGACTTCAGGGCCTGGGCAGCCGTGAATTTGCCTTCATGGGCGGAAGACTCAAACACAGAGTTGTGAAGCGCAGGAGCTCAGGGGGTGTGGCTGTCAGATGGCTTCACATCAATTGCTGCCACGGCAGCCAAGTCAAGGGGGAGCTTCGAGAGGCAATGCCCGCAACCACTGCCAGAGCATCAGGCTCTTTGAGGGCAACCCTCAGTCGGCTTTTTACTGCGCCTCTTGCGCTCGTTCGCCCCCTGCGAGGGTCTCACGCCTTAAAAACCCACGGCCGTCGTGAGTTGCGTACCAAGTGCCATGATATATACCTCGAAGCCTTGCGGCGCGCTGGTGTCTGCCTTGCTCGCGAGCCTTCCTTTTTTGCGCGCGTTTAAACAACGCGGGAGACACGATTGGCGCGATAGCGACCAATTGAGGCGCACGACGACAGGCTATTTTGCGTTTTTCGTTGAATTCTTTTCCTTGCTTCCCAATGACTTCTCCTGCTTACCTTACTTTTCCTGGTTTCTCATTGCTTTTCTGCGGATGCTTCCGCTTTTCTTGTTAACGCCGCCGTTAGCGCCTGCTTGGATTTGTGCTATTTTTGATCAATTTTAAGGTTCAAATGGGTTTGCGATTCCTATGAGGGGGTTTTCGGGTGTCAGAGTGCTTTACGTTCGCGTCGCGCCTCGTCCACTCGTCTGCCATTGTGAGAGCGCCAAGCTTACCGAAACGACCGTTTCCACTCTGCTTCTCACAGACGGCCGCAGGGAAGTGCCCTTCTCCTGCTTGTCTGCGCAGATGCTTCGGCTCCTGAGGTCAGCCTGGCTCAGCAACTTGGCAAGCCTGGGCCAGTGCTTTTCGCCAGACACACAGGCTTTTTTTACGCGTACGCAATTCTCGTGTGTAAGC